TGATATCAGCAGTACTCCTGCTCCCGCTCCTTGTCGGTTCGAACTTCCATCGACAAACAGTCTAAATGAATCGCCGATGTAAATGCTGCAGGGTCTAAGTTTTTCCTTCCTTTGCTCATTTGCCTTAGGCTGGGCTTCTCCTTGTTTGTTTGAAGGTCGTTCATCTTGGCTCAACGAAGCCCGATGTTCGACGGATTCTGGCGTGAATTCGGCCACGAAGTCGGCCAAAATTTCGCCTTTAATTGTTGTTCTCGGCCTGAATTCCAGGTCATACTGGCCCAGGGCTACTGCCCATCTTGCTATCCTTCATGTTAAGTCTCCTAGTTGCAACAAGGACTTCAGTGGATGCTCTGTTAGGACCACAATCTTGTGCGCCTGAAAGTAATGGTTCAACTTTTTTGAAGCCATTACTAGGGCTAGCATTAATTTCTCCAGTGGTAGATACCTTGTTTCTGCGTTGGCCAAGGTTTTGCTTACATAGTAAACAGCCTTTTGCTCCCCTTTTTCTTCTCGGATTAGTACTGCACTGACTGCGTGTTCTGAAACTGCTAAGTACAAAAACAGTTCTTCCCCTGGTTCTGGATTAGAAAGAACCGGAGTTGTGGTCAAGTACTTCTTCAGGTCGGTCAAAGCGGCTTCGCATTCTTCTGTCCACAGAAAGTCTGTGGCTTTTTTTACCAGGTTGAAGAAGGGTCTGCACTTATCTGAGTTTCTGCTGATGAATCTGTTTAGGGCTGCGGCCCTTCCAGTAAGCATCTGAACTTGTTTTGCCGACGTTGGGCTCTTCAGCTCTAGGATGGCCTTGATTTGGTCTGAGCTGGACTCAATGCCCTTTCTTGTTACCAGATACCCTAAAAACTTACCTGATCCAACTCCAAACGCACACTTTGATGCGTTGAGTCGGAGCCGGTATGTTTTGAGTATATCAAAGACCTCTTTTAGGTCGGCAAGATGACCCTTAGATTCCTTGGTCTTCACGACTATGTCATCGATGTAGACTTCTACCGTTTTGCCAATCAGGTGCTTGAACATCTTTGTTGCTAACCTTCGGTAAGTTGCTCCTGCGTTTTTCAACCCAAAAGGCATTACCTTGTAACAGTACAGGCCTTTAGGGGTGATGAACGCGGTCTTCTCCTCGTCTGGAGGGTACATGGCAATCTGGTGGTACCCCCTGTATGCATCCAGAAAACTCATTCTTTCATGCCCTAAAGTAGCATCTACTAGCTGGTCAATCTTGGGCAGAGGAAAGCTATCTTTGGGGCAGGCTTTGTTGAGGCTGGTAAAGTCTACACAGACCCTCCATTTGCCGTTCTTCTTCTTCACCACTACTGTGTTGGACAGCCATGTCGGGTAGTGAACTTCTCGGATGGCCCTGGCCTCCAGAAGTCTGTCTACTTCTTCTTCTACTGCTTCGACGTGCATCAACGTCGGTTTTCTGGCTCGTTGTATTACAGGTTTGGCCGACCTGTCGACGTTTAGTTTGTGACATGTGACCTCGGGGTCAATACCAGGCATTTCATAAGGTATCCAGGCGAACACCTCTATGTTTGTTCTCAAAAAATCTTCCAGTTCTCTTTCCTCTTCTTCGGCTAAGCCTGAGCCGAGAAGAAAGAAGCGCTCTTCGTCGCCCTCCTGGACGAGGATTTTCTTTAGTGTCTCTTCACTCTTTTCGGCTGGCTCCTTGCCGACATCATCTAAGACCTCCATGTCCTCGTCTTCAATCTCTGCCTCTTTTGGCTCTCGAATGCTGCAAGTAGACTTCATTGCTGCCATGGAGCAACTTTTTGCCTGTAGTTGATCTCCTCTGACTTCTTCAATCCCATGCTCTGTTGGGAACTGTAGTAGTTGATGCAATGTTGAGGGAACTGCCCCCATTGCATGCAACCATGGTCTTCCCAAGATGATGTTATATGGTGAAGGTGTGTCAATCACCATGAATTCTGTCCTGATCTTCTTAGTGCCAGCTTGTACTTCCAAGCTTGTTGCTGCCCAGTGGCCATGTCGGCGTTCCATTGAAGCCGACCATCGGGCCATTCGATTGCTCCATGTCGTCTGGGTGAAGGCCTAGCTCCTTGTAACATCTAACGTACATAATGTCACAAGAGCTGCCTTGATCTATTAGGATGCGTTTCACTTGGCACTCCCCAACCTGGAGGGATACTACCAAGGCATCATTATGCGGATGCTGGACCATCTTTAAGTCAGCTTCAGTGAAGGCTATCATCGGTCCTCGGCACTCTTCAGGCCGAGGTCTTTTATGTCCGACCTGGTTCACGTGCTGCAGGTGTTTTACTCTTTGGGTTTCTCCCCGAATGTCGCTTTCATTCACTTTTGAGTGAATTACATTAACCACCCTTAGTCCCCTTCCCTGTGGTTGCTGTGCTGGGGGAGGCGAGGCCGCTGGTGCTTGAGGTAATCTTGCCTGCTCTTCTCTTGTCCTGGCTTCGTCGACGAGGTCCCTCAGATGGCCTTGCTTTATTAAGTCCTCTAAGTATGCTTTTAGGGCTCTGCAACCCTGAGTTGGGTGCCCTTCTTCATTGTGGTAAGCACAACGCCTACCAACGTTCCTTCCCATGTATTCCCCTGGCGCCTTTGTTGGTGCTCTGAAATAAGGTTGATTTCGGATTTGTTCCAGGACTTTGTGTACTGGGATTCGGAACACAATCGTCACTGCCTGCTTACCCCTCAATTCTATCTCTGATTTGTTAAATCCGTTATCACCTCGGCTTCGCTTCGGCTCGCCGTTCCCTTTTTCCTGTTTTACCTCCTTATTTCCCGATGTATACTCCTTGGCTCTGGCATATTTCTCAATTCTTGCCATGAGCTCTTCCATACTTTTTGGTAAAGTTTTTGCCAAAGACTTCCGTAGTGGACAATTGTCTTTCAGGCCGTTCTTAAATGACACGACCGCTACTCTTGATTGCATTCTGGTATTCGATTGAACACCTCATAGTATCTCTTCGAGTAGGCCCTAAGGCCTTCTTCCTTTGTGATTCTTAAAGCCATCAGGGCGTCGACCCTCAAGGGCTGTAGTTTGTTCGTCACAAACCTAGCCACAAACATCTCGGCCAGGCCTTCCCACGTCTTTACGCTTCCCTTCGGTAATTTATGGAACCAATCGGATGCAATTTCCCCAAAGAATGAGGGGAAACTTTGCAGAGCAATGGCTCGTTCCCACTATATAATGCCATTGAATTCAGGTATAGTCCAACATGAAAGTTGGGATCTGACTTACCATCATAAATTTGGAACCTCGACATACTGAATCTCTTTGGTACTTCAAATTTGTCCAGTTCCACCGAGAATGGTGTCCTCGGCTTCACTGGGGAAGTTACCTCGGCTTCAACATTTTGTTGCTTCCTTTTGAGGTAATCCCTCAAGTCTTCTTTACTCCTACCTGGAGCTCGCTATCTCTGGACTTCAATCTTTTTGGCACACTACTTTCGGCCTCGTGGTGGGTCTGTTTCGATCTTTCCCCATGGGTTGTATCAAAGCAGAGTGCTTGCCCTTGAACATGCCGATGTTCTTTGGGCCCTGGATCCTTCATGTGATGTGTCCTTCGGGACTCTTCTTGCCTCGGCTCCTCTCGTCCGACTTCCCTGGAAGGTCGGTGAGAGTGCCTTCCGTTCCTGGTGTGCTGAGGGGCTTCGGGGATTGTTCTTCCTCCTCCCTTCTGGGCATTGGTTGCTGGCATCGGTGTGTCCTGCAACGGGTATGGTGGCTGCATGACGTTGTTTTGCATTATGAAGTTGACGACCGACTGTAGGTCTGCCAACTTGTTTGCCAAGTCTTTGACTTCCTCATCCCTCCGTAGGCACCTATCCTTCCATACCTGAAGGTTATCTTCATTATAGTACTTGCCTTGGTCTGTCTTCTTTGAAGTGTTACCCTCCTGGCCGACGTCTTTCTCGATGTCGCCTTGGTCATGAGTTTCTGCATTGTGGTTGTCTCTTTCAACATCAAGGTCAATTGGTCTGCCACTCCCAGCAGGAGTGTCGCCCCCAATGTTTTCCTTCTGTCCGTTACTTGCCATCTATTCTTCTAAGATTCCCACAGACGGCGCCAAATTGTGTGGGTATTTTTCTGACCACACTACCCGCCTAGTAATCAGCTGGAGAGCACCGGCAGAATAGATGGCTTCAGCAAACCTGTAACAGAAAGAAAATGCTCCGGCGGTGGCTCTTCCACCCAGGGGCACTCCGACGATCAAGTTAGTATATTTTTCAAAGATAATCAAGTGCTAAACTCACAAGCTTAAGCATAAAACTGCGTACCTTAGACCCATGGAGGTGCCTCTCTTTTATAGTTTCAACCCAAATCCTACTAGAAGCCTGACTTCTATGGACTCCAATTCAGTGTTTACTTTGGATTCCTCAAGAGACAAAGATAAACTCCCTAAGAGCTTTATCCTTATCTTAGCAAAGTCTTCTCTTTATTCTAGGACTCCTGTCCCTTATCTTTTATCCATTTATCTCGGATTCCGATATTTTCGGAGATAATCTCGGCCTTGCCGAGATAACCTCGGCGTCACAATCTGGACACGTGGCACCTCGGCTGACACGTCGGCGTCACCTTGTCACGTGTTGGTATTTCAGAAAATACATCCCCACATATATATATATAAATAGAAAACTGTGAAGATAAATGTTACTGAACAAACCCAAGACAGGACCATATTTCGATATTTTCCCACATCGTATGATTGAAAATGCTTTACAAATAGCTGAACAGAAATTTTAAAGACTGAAAAATGTGTAGTAATCTAATATAAATTGAATCTGGATAATTTCCACAGGTGGAAAAGAACAGAAATTTTGAAAATAGAGAATCAACCCCCTGGCTAAAGAAAAAATATTAAATGCCTTTTAAAACAATATTTCATACCAATTACGAATTAACACATTTTACGTTATCTCTTAAAATACCAACATAAAAGCGATTCCCTCTGTTTAAATCAATAAACTACTAAGTCGAAACACTATATTAACTACCTCCAAGAATACCAAACAATTAGACAAAGCTTTATTACACAGCAGGTGACTATCTAGAATCCATAAATGATAAGCATAAAAGACTTTCTTTTTCTCAATCCATGTCAAATTTATGTTCTTTCCCTTAGAAAAATGATGGGAAATAGACAGTTCAACAACTGCAAATTGTAGACTTTTCCAATACAAGGTTTCTTCTACTCTTGAGAAGAACCATTCAGAAGTCAGGTATTTACAAATAGAAATAGTAAGATAATAACCAAGCAAGTAAAGAACTCAAACTTCAAGCTGCTGGCATCGAGGTTGAAAGAACTACATACGATAAGTATTGGAGCCCATCCTGAATTTTTCCCACGGCTGTGTTCTGATCAGAACGAAGATTCTCGGAGAATGCATTGGCTTTTTCTTGAATTGATTTCTGTGGAAGAACTTCTTGCGAGTCAGCGGTTGCACCTTTTATGGCTGCTATGTAAGCTTCAGCTACGTCAGCTATGCCTGTGCAACAAACATGGTCCATTTGATATTCAGTTTAAGTATTTGATCATTAATCAATAATCCCAATTCAGAGAAGGACCATTTTGTCATTAATCATTTCATGCAACTTTCACAGAAAAAAGTAAAAGATATACATGGTCTCAAGCAAAATTAAAAAATGTTTTCAATTCGGTTTATTAGGTATTTTCAGCAACCCTTGGCTTAAAATGAATAAATTTTGATACTTTCCCGACTTATAATCGGCTATAATTGCAATTACTTCCTTTTTTTTACCCCTATCAGCTGGAGGCAGGGGGGTTCAAATAGAAGTCAAGGTTAATATTTTTTTATGCAAGCAGAAAACCCTTTCATTCAATAAACTCAAAACCAATATGGTTACAACCAAGAAGTAATGCTAAGCAAACATACCAGTGACAAAACTGTTGCACACTGCTTCCACATTTCCAGTCATTGATTGTGCCCTTGTTCTGATTATCTCAGCTTTTTCGACAGAATCCTCTGGCCAATTGATCTCCAACATATCCTCATCAACATCTTTGTCCTGGCCTTTGTTTGCATTAGATATGACTGATTTCCCAAGCATCAGAAGCTGGGACACTGCATAGCAGCACATTTCCGAGAGCCTCTGCATGGACAAGCACAGAAATTTCATTGCCAATTACATCCAGTATTCTATATGACCCATTGACAGTAACTTATCTTCTTCTTCTTTTATTTTTATTTAAAAAAAAAAAATTCAAAAGAAAGATGCAGTAAAACTCAAAACATCAGCATACATGAACCCCCTCTGAATGAAGAGAATCCAATCTACCAGCAGTTCTCTGGACTACGTCATTTGTGGCCAGTCCTGCTAGTGTGCTTGTGAAGCTGCAATATATCAAGAAAGTATAAGATACTGCAACTGCAAACTCGCTACCCTGTACAAGTTTCAAGCTTCTTACACAATGTTCAGGTGGATCGAAAGATGAAAGGAATAGATGGCCATTAAATAGTTCAGTTGCAATTAACAGTTGCGTGGTTTTGTTCTCTAACTCAAATTCTGAATTCCTTGCCTAGGCAGTCTTCTTCAGAGTTTAGACTTTCTAATCAAATTTTCTTTCAAAGTCATACATGTCATATTGATCTACTTCAAACTAGATTAGTAATGGAGAACTAAGTAACTAACTAGCTACAATAATGTTAAACAAGCGTTTTCAGAAGCATAAGAAGTGATAAGCGCCTCATAAAAGCCATCAGGCACAACACTAGGCATTGTTGACTCAACACTACTTGTCAAATATGCCTTGGGTGGGGTGGGGTGGGAATAAAGCACCCACCCAATAGATCACATTAAGGTTGTGTTTGGATTATGAATTTAGGTAGGCATTTTGATAGGGAAAGGGAAAATGTGGGTGATGCGAATGGAAATATAACTGCATCTCACACACCTTATTATTTATTTATTTATAAATGTGGTAGGAGAGGAGGGAAGCGTTGCAGGGGTGGCAGGTAGTGCCGGGAAATGTGACAGGTTATTTATAAATGTTCTGATTATCTTAATGGTAAGGAAGGCAAATTGCAAATTTGTCAAAACCACATGAGGGTCATTGGCAAAATTTAAATGATACAAGGGGATAAAGTGCTTCGAGGCCAAATATATGGGTGATGTGAATGGAAATATAACTACACCTCACACACCTTATTATTTATTTATTTATAAATGTGGTAGGAGAGGAGGGAAGGGTTGCAGGGGTGGCAGGTAGTGCCGGGAAATGTGACAGGTTATTTATAAATGTTCTGATTATCTTAATGGTAAGGAAGGCAAATTGCAAATTTGTCAAAACCACATGAGGGTCATTGGCAAAATTTAAATGATACAAGGGGATAAAGTGCTTCGAGGCCAAATCAAATGGAGGGTAAATAAATCTTGCCCAAAACTTTAAAAGTTGAGACACAACTCTAAATAGGTTCTTTGTTGTATAGACCACCCTTGAGTGGCACAATATAGGAAATCACCAAATAGATCCTTACACTATAAAGGAAATTGGGACTCTTAACAAACTTAAGAAGTGAAAAAAAAAAAAAATCACCTTCCACCCCCAACATCTTCACTCGTGATGCAGACAACACAGGTTATACCTACTTAATAGCATTAATAGAGTTGAAAACTGAAGGGAGAAAAACAGATTGTCTGGGGCAAGATTACCCTGCAGCCATTTCAGCAGCCTTTTTGACACTTGAGTCGTGTAGATTCTTCATCTCATCAGCACTCCCCTCAGCTCCAGTCTCTATTTTCTTTCCTTTTCCTGATGCTGTGGCACTTTCATCAATTTCAGAACTTGAACTGAAAATTTGTTGCACCTGTTTTAGCTTTCCGTCATAAAAGGACTTCTGTTCGGATAATAGCTTCGCTTTTCTTCGGTTAAATAACAAAGCATAGTGGTTGGACAAAGACTCCAATTCCTGAAGATAATAGCTATTTAGAATCTTAAGCCAGAACTAACATTCCAGATGGCATTGAATTGAAAGACATCGAACCAAGAAGATAAAGAAGGTGACCTCCAACTGTTCTGGACCTCCGTATATGTAGAAGCATCTATCAAATGTCACTTCTTCAAACAATTGATCCTCGTCATCTTGTGCTTGAGCTCCCTTCTTATCAACTTCAATACCAGTTTCTGTAATCAGAAGATCCATGGTCTCCTTGCCTACAAGCTCAAGCACTTGCATTCCCTTTGCAGTAAAAGCTTTTCCACTCTATGAAACAATGGAACAGAAATAAGTTACTACAAGCAATTAATAAGATGATGAGTGTCATGAGTACCTCTATGAAGGATGGGGCAACAGAACCAGCCACCGGTATACCCCCCTGTTGAATAGATTCAGCAATGTTTACAGCAGAGTTCTCAAGCCTGAAAAAAACAAGAGACAAAAATCATTCAATTAGCAGAAAAAAATTTAGGACCTTCTGGGCAAAGAAATAAGTGACTGTGACCCCATCAACCAGAGTCTACCACAATAATTAGTCAACAGGCATCTACAAGTTTGCACACACAACTTTCATATATTCAGTATTTTTAAAATTTCCTGGATTCTGGAAGTTTCTCTGAATGTTAATTGAAAATCAAAGGATTCCAACTGCCTCACCTACAACATTAAAAGTTATACCACTTCAAAAACAAGTTGTAACAATAACAGTGAAAGAGTAGCCACTCACTACTCTTTGACTATATCTAGAAGTACTTATATTTATATTGACTATATCTAGAAGTACTTATATTTATATACTTAATGATTTCTAAACATACATGGATATAACCCACAACACAACATTCTGACAAGTATCATACCATCAAAATTACCTTCGAGGACATCACTTTCTCATCCAATCATCTAAACGATGTAATACCAAGCAGTGAACACTAAATTTACTCCCAAAAGTGCAGTTCCAAAGATATCAACATTTAGGGCTATTTTGGGAAGATGGTTATAATCAGCTTTTTGGTGAAAAGCTGCTTATAAGCAGCTTTTCTGTGAGAGAGGAAGTGGGTTATAATCTGGGAAGTGGATTATAACCCACTTCCCAAAATAGGCCTTAGTATAAGAACCTTGACCCTTGCCGTCCTAAACACAAGTATGCATAATCATTAACTTCTTGAGAAAGTACACTAATAAAGAATCTGAAGTCTCATCTGGCATACACTTCAATTTGTGTATAACGAATGCAGTTTTCATGAGAATAATTAATTATAAAAAGAGTATATTTTAAAAAGTTGAGTTGTAATGAAGTCATACTTTTGAACAAAATCAGAACCCCCTCTTAATGCGCTTCCTAATGCCTGCCATGCCCCTGAAGCAAAATTCTCCACAGAACTATCAAGAACCTTTAAACCCTGCAAAAATTGAAAAGTAAGTAGAACTCATTATTAAGGCCCCCTTTGGTGCAGCTGCAGCTTCTAGCAAAGCTAAAAGTCGATAATCTTCCCACACCTTTTCACCTTCCCAATAATCAATTTATGAAAGTCATTTTTGTTTCTCAAAAATTGTAAACAAAAAAACACTACACCAAACACACTGACACAAATTCACAAAATAAAAAAAGAAGAAAAAAACCATAAACACCACCATAAGCTGCACCAAAAAGGGCTTAATAATAAATTAGTAAAACTGACACTTTGAAATGAATTAAAGCAAATCAACTAAACAAAAATACACCCCAAGAATTTGTCAAATGCAACCCATAACCATCACATACAATATTTCAGACAGCAACTTCAAGAAACAATTACCAAACAAATTTAGTCATAAGATCCAAGACATAAAGAGTAGTAGAAAAAGAGGTAGGTTTCGTAATCGGAGGTAGAACTAGTGCCCCCATTTTAAGTTTTAACTCAAAAAAAGAATGAGATAGAAATCTGAGGACGGGCAAAAAAATAGTAAAGCCTAAATCAGTACACAGTCCATCCTCCCAGAATCATGGATTGATGAAACTAACACAAGTTTAGGGAGAGCGAATTTAAAGGACGAATGGCCTATGTAAACTAATATTGAGGGTATGAAAAAGGAAATAATGCACCTCTGAAATCCAAGAAAAGACAAACCCAAGATACAATTTATTTAAATTCTCATATTTGAGACATGCCTGGCCAAGGATTGTATCTTCACTAGCCTTTCCCAATTTATCCAAAGCAGCCTTCCGCCGTTTATCATTCTCATCTTCACTTTCTCCTTCAACTGCAGATCCTTTCATATCATCCTCCTTCGAAGATTCTGAGTCCTCCTCAACCACATTCTGCATATCCGCAATGCTCTTTGCTGCAGTCTTGGCAGCCTCAACAGCCTGCAGCATGAAACCATAACTTAACAAGGTTGCAAATAATCTACCAAGGACATCATGCAGCATAGCACTGAATGTTAGGAAAATAACACATGGACATTCCAGAACCATGTTTATGTATTGTCTCCCTCATTTTAGATTGAAAAGCATAATTGTCTATTTTGTATAGTTGGTTCTCAGGTTGTGTAAACCAATATTACCAATTTCTGAATTTTGTAGAGAATATTTTAGTGTAGACAAATGCTAAAGAATGCCCCTAGGGCATTGTTTTATATTGGGATTGAGCTAAAAAGTGTTTTGAAAATAGGCGAAAATGTTAAAAAGGGCATTGATTTTAGTAAAAAAGTGCATTAAATTCAGTGAAAGTGTCTTGTGCTCTTCTCTTTTTTTGTGCTCTTCTTGTGCCCTAGGAGCACTTATTAGCAAGACCCTTGGAATTCATCCAAACAACAATTAAAAACGGTTTTTTTAGTCAAATTCACCTTAATTTCATTGCTCCATAAGGCCAAACATTTCATTGCAGATTATACACGAACGCATCCACATACAAATAAGGCTAGAGTCAAATCCAGCTTCACTTCATTCTATCCACACCTAATGAAAGCTACTACTACCCAACCACAAGACCAAGTATTCTCCAAAATATGGTATAACGTTTTAGGTTAATTATCTTAACAGAAGTACTGCAACACAAACATAGTATAAAATTTGAAAAAGAAAGAAAGAAAACAAGTACTAAGAAGAAGTGTACATAAACAAAGCACATTTAGGTTACTTAATAGTTGAATGTCTATCCAAAATTGGAAATCTAAAACACATTAATGCTTGAACACAATTGCAGATCTAATTATTCAAGCATCCCCAAATGCAAATAAATAAATCCACTAAAATTACTAATCGTAGCCCCAATAAAAGAAAATTAATAGCTCACTAAACCTAAAAAATGAAGATTGCCCCTTTTCACCTGACATTTTCTCGGCAACCAAACAGACCATAAATTCTCGGAAAACTAAACAAACAAAAAAAAAAAACTCAGATTGGAGAGAAAGACGGTTACATTGCGAGAGATCTCTTCGGCAGCGACAGTAGCGGCCTTCTGGAGATCTGACAAAACAGAGAACGGAGAGAAACCCCAACCGCCCCATCCACCACCACCACCCCCTTGTTTTGGCGGCGGCGCTGCTGCTTCTTCTGGTGGTGGTGGTGCCACTTCTTGAGGTTTTTCCTTCTCTTCTTTTGGGGACTTGGATGTGTTGTCTTCCATATTCAGAAACAGGTAATTGAAAATTTATGTATTTTTCTATTAGCTGTGTTGTGTGTGTGTTTGGATCTAGACTTCGATTTTCTTTCTGTGGACTCTCTAGCAAGTTGGATGATTTTGATGATGGTGTTGTTTGGTTGTGATGTTTGATCTTTAACTGCCGAAACAAAAAGAACTTCCCGATCTGACTGAACGTGTGTTTCAAGGCAATGACCATTCAACCGACGTCGTTTTTGATGATTTTTATTCACAACGATGACGTCATTTTTTCATTTTTTTTTAAACAAAAAAATTCATTTCAATATTAAATAGGTTTATTTTTCTTTTCATTTTTTACCCTCTTTAGATTATTTTTTTAATTGGACCCCCAAATTCAATTGAGAATTGGACAATGCGCATCCTCAAGCAAAGTTGACTTTTTTAACTTTTTAATTTTTTAATATTTTAGATTTCATTTGTCAATTATATATTTTATTTAAAAAATTAAAAAATAATTATAAATTATCACATAACTCTTTTTATATTTCTGTATATTTTTTTTAAAAAAGTTAAAAATTTATTAAAATAAAATATTCCTAAACAAAACCTTTAAGAAAAATGTTATGAATCTCAAATAATTTATTAAATTTTTTATCAAACTTCTTACATACGTATAAAACTCATATAAATACACATGTGTATAGATTTCACACCCATATAATGTGCGCATTGTTTGGCTAAGGGTTGGTTTGGTAAGGGCTCATTGGGCTTTTTTGGCTCAATGAGCCATAAAAGACAGAATAGGCTCATGAGCCACAACAGACAAAATATCTCATCCAACCCTATAATCATTACACTCTTCTCTCACAAAAAAATCAAAAAAGTCAAAAAGCCAAAAGTTCTTCCCAAACTAAGCTTTTGAGCCCAGACTCATATAGTTAAAAAAGTCAAAAAGCGAACCCACTTCCCAAACGGAGGCTAAGTTGGTTTGACATCTTGTCCATGTAATCAAATTTTGAAGAGTGCATTCGGTTGAGTAGTTGTTGTGGCAAGATAATAAGTGGTTGGGCCTTTTCTGTTTGGTTTGTGTTTGGCTTCAGCCTCCTTTATACCAAAAAAAAGGCAAAAAAAATTTAAAATATGATTATAAAAAATGTTTTGTCTAAATAATTTTTTCTCACAAACCATTTAAATGACGTGGTAAGAAAAAAATAAATTAATAACCCACACTCATATATTTATTTCTTCTCTCAAAACCTTCCCGACAACATTTACCACATCATTCGTGAGGGGAAAAAATTATATAAATAAATTATTTTTCAATATATATTTAGGCAACTCCTAAGAAATGGGAGGAAAAGGGACCGTCAACAAGCGCCGAGTGAATGTGCTAATAAAGTATTTTCACACCTTAGCCTCACATGTAAGAAAAAAATAAATTAATAACCCACACTCATATATTTATTTTTTCTCTCAAAACCTTCCCGACAACATTTACCACGTCATTCGTGAGGGGGAAAAATTATATAAATAAATTATTTTTCAATATATATTTAGGCAACTCTTAAGAAATGGGAGGAAAAGGGACCGTCAACAAATGCCGAGTGAATGTGCTAATAAAGTATTTTCACACCTTAGCCTCACATTTGCGAAATTTGAATTCCTAATTTATCATATAAAAATGTTACTATAATACCATTGGACTCTAAGTCTTGAGTTGAATGTTATGTTGTCCTGTATAATTTAATTTAGGAGAAATTACTGTTCAGTATAAATTTAAAAAACAGTTATATATTAATAATAAATTTTATAAATATTAATAATTAAAATTTTAAATTTTTTGATATGGGATAGGTGGTAGGTGGGGTGTAGTCGTTACAGGAGTTTTGTGATTGTGGCGTAGAAGTGATGAAAATTTTAAAGTTAAGTCATGGATTGCATGCTAGTGACTGAATGTGACTAAAGGGGCGATCTCTTACTTTATTATACTCTTTTTTTATCAGCCAGTCATGGAATGGCTTTACATCTTACTGGAGGTGAATCATGTGCTGTTCCAAAAAAATAAGTGCTTGTTTGGGATGTTTTATTGGGGTTAAAATAGTCATATAAGAAAAAATAAATTATTTTAGTCAAATAAAACAAAATGTCATATTCAATCCATAATTAATTTTTTTTTTTTTCACAAGAGTCAAAAAAAACTAAAAAGTCTATCCATACGAGACTTTTTAACTCCAAACTAAAATATCTAAAAAAATCAATCCACATTCCAAACGAATATCTACCCAAAAATAAAATAAAATTATGGCAGTGACCTACACCACAATAAAGTTTTATTTCAAAGACAACTAATAAATTTATATGCTCAAAAAAAAAAGTAATAAATTTATATTTATATTTTAAATACGTAGCATTCCCGTACAACCTTTGGGTCGGCCAAATTCTGGTTTGGGCTATGTGAAGTGGTCCAAGGACCTAAAATTTTGGGCTTTGTGAAGAGGACTTTCTTGTGCTCAAGTTGAACAAAAATAATAATAATTGAAGGACAATTGAAAATTTGGATATTAAAAATAAAAATGGAGTGAGAAATACTAAAAAAAAGTGGAGAAATAATAAAAAATTATCTAGTCTTCTAAGAATATTATATGATTGTGTACCTAATCAATAATATTTCGTAATTTCTCGTACTATTCTTATTATTTGAATTCATATTAATACACAATTTATTCTCATTAGACAACCACACCATCACTGTGGTCTTCCTGAAAATCTAGATAATTATTACTCAACAATAACGATTTCAAAAAAATCCTAGTATGAGTTTCGGGCATATCCAATTGTGATATTCAATAACAAGTTGATTTGACAACAAAAATGATATATCAGTCTAGTTTTTAAACTTATTTTATAGACTTAATGTAAATTATATGATTGATTGATAATTAAAAAAATATGAGAGAGGATATTACTTTTAATATCTTAATTATTTATTTATTTATTTATTTTGCTTACATACGGGCCGAAGCCAAAAGAACAAGAAATAAATAAACAGGCTAACCAATTTTTTCGCATTAACTATGTTTCAAGATTGATAGCAAATCGATGTCTAGAAGCGAAAGTGAAAAAACAAATAAAAAATCAAATTTCCAACTCACAATACGGTCAAAAATGTTGTGATGAAATTTTAAAAGAAAATTGAAAAATTGGTTGTAATACATTTTCTAAACGAAAATGATTTTCCAAAACACGCCGAAAGTATAAATGGAAATTTTGAAAAAAGAACAAAACTTTTTCAAAAAAAATATATATATTCAAAAAAAGAAATCAACAAATGTTTCAAAAAAGAAAATTTGTAAATGTTACATTTGTAACGAAGGTCACTATGCACCCGAATGCCCAAAAAGGGAAAAAAGTGCAAAGAAAAAGATCAAAATTCTTGAAGAACAAGATTTTGAAATTATCGCGATCCCGGTTGTCCCTTTACTGTTCTGTTGCATTCCGGACTCGGTTCCGTGGAGTTGGTAGTTGTATCTATCTTGGTGTCGTCATTTAATTCCATTTGTTTGAGTTTTAGGATGCGTTGGGCATGTTTCGAACAGGTGGGTTGAACCTTGGTCTAAAATCTTGTTGCCAGGTTTTTGATCGTTCCGCTCGAGCGGGCCTTGTTGCGCTCGAGCGGATATTGCACACTCCTAGTATTTCGTGTCCTTTCAAAACCTCTACAGGTGTGATTTTTACGCTCGAGTGGGTAGTACTTTTTGGTGTATGTTCTGGGAGGGGGAAATTTACGCTCGAGCGGACTGATTTTCGCGCTCTAGCGGATGTACTTTATTCTTGTGTCTTGGCGCTTGAGCAGGCCTTCTTGCGCTCGAGCATACCTAGTTTTTTGTTCTTGACGCCCGAGCGTTGTGTTCTCCGCTCAAGTAGGAATATCGTATATCAGTTGGCAGCTGGACATTTTAAAATCACTTTTTACATTCTCTCTCTCTCTCTCTCTCTCTCTCTCTCTCTCTCTTACTTTCTAAAAAGATATTTTGAGAGCTCCTCTCTCTAGAAACTCCCTTCTCTCTAGGGTTTGATCTAGTTAGAGTGTCTCACTATCCTCCGGCCTTTGTAAAAAGTGTGTGGATCGTCAAGGGCTCCATTTTGATCCATGGATCTTTGAGTTTGGAGCATTTTGGTTTTCTTCAACTTTCCTGTTTGAGCTCTAACTTCGAGGTAAGAATATCCTACTCCTTCTCATGAGTTTTGTCTTTGAATTTTAGCATTTTGATGAGTTGGGGGTTGTTAAGTAATTTTGAGAAAGTTTGGGCCTTTGTGTAATTTTACAAAAGTTGGGGTTTTGTTTATATAAACTTATATGCATGTTTGGCATAGAGAAATGAGATCAATATTGGTTTATTGATGAAAATGAAACCTTAGGGTTGTGATGTTAATTATGAGAAATGCTCTAATTACATTGATAAATTAATTGGTATAATTAATTTGAAGAAAAGAAGAATTAAATTAAGAATGTTGGAATAGGATGTGTATGGGATTAAAGGGTGTAGTTTGATTCGTTCATCGCTCACCTAGTTGAAATGTTGATTATATATCCATTTGGTGCATTTATTTTCAGTATAGAAATAACTGTTTTAGGCTATTGGTGGAGGATAGTCTTGATTGTTGTAGACACTGCATGATGATTAGACAAACTAAAACTAATCGATTAAGTATGCTATTGAATATAGCAACTGGAATAATACATTAATTCTATGTATTGATTGATTGTATATGATCTATGTTTATATACATGTGTTGTGTGGGAGGAGATAGGGGATGTACTCCACGGTTTAAGGGATGGACTTCTAAACCGGATTTTATGTGACATTGATACAGCACTACAATGTGTATCAAGTGTTGATTATGGAAGTGTTTGAATTGATTTGATATATCACTAAAATGTATATCGTTATCAATTGTAAAGTATAGAAGTGATTCTATATTATGTTGATACAGCATCGAAATGTGTATCTTTCGCAAAGTGTGGGAATGGTTTATGTGTTATTGATACAGCATTAAAATGTGTATCCCTCATGAATTTTGAGAGTATTTTAAAGATGAGTCTAAATCTCATTAAGTTGTTTGGCTAGGTGTTGAGCCTTGTTTTCAAACTCAAAGTTGGAAAA